GGAATTCTTTTCATCACCTAAAGGAATTCTTCATAAGTTAAGTGACTTTTCGATCGCACATTTTATTCCATATATGATTAACTCGAAAAATTGTTTCGAATGAAATAAACCTTGTTTTCTTGCTTTATACAGTTTAAAGAATAAATATGTGATATCATGCATATTATTACAGTTATTAATTTAAATTCCAATAACTTCCTTTTAAATTAGACTAAAAGAAAAACAATAAGCTTCATATTTAAAAGAAAATAGAATAATTGTTGCTGTTCCTTTCTCCATAGAGTTAGGATTGCTATTTCTTTAAATTAATGATTTTTTTCTTCTTAAGGGGGGACCCCACCCTGAGATGGTAAAATATTAATGTTCTTGAATTTTTTTCAAGTAATGGAGACAATGCAGAGACTCCTTGTTTTTTTTAATGTTATTTAGCTACAATTTAAGTCAATTTTAAAAAAATTTTCTTTTACAAAATAATAAAAAATAAGTTGGCGACAGCTCCGTGTGTGGCCGGTCATCAAAAAGTAGCACCTCACTAGCCTCAGGGATTTAGAAGTTCTGAAGCATAGGAAAACGACGTCTCTCTATTTTTCTGTATAACTTCCAAACGAAGTTAGGTACCAAGAAATCGTTTTAGATAGACATTAGGAAGGATACAAAGATTCGAAAAATGCAATAAATTTTTTTCCAACTTTTTGAAATATTCAATACTAATCATTTAAAGGATTTAATTAAGATGATTTAGATGATTTAACAAAACACCCCTACATAATATTAGCATCGTTATAACTAGACAAAAAAAAATCGGAATTGAACTATATATTAGAGAAACCTACACTTTCTGAAAATATTTCCATTAATTAAAACACATTTGATCTTTTGAAAAATTAAGCCCATTATTGCCATAAATATTTCTTTCAAGTATATCCATATTTTTTTACTAAACTATAAATAATTAGATGTCATAAATGAAATAAAACTTTTAATAAAATAATACCCTCGTTATAACTAAATGAATACAAAGTTAAATCGAATAAGATCTTACCATAATCTATTAATATTAAAACATATCCCTGCCATTTTAAAACAGACTTGCTTTTTGAAAATATGAAATTCCTTACGCTGGAATTGTTTTTCTTACACTAAAATCCACTTATTTGATTTATGATTAATCTGAAATAGAGTAATTGAATAATTATACCTTTTCAATAATACGATTTTGTCAATAATCACTTTTTTTATTTTATTTATTTTTTCAATAAATTTTTAAATTTTTTTTTATGAAAACAACGTACTTTAAGAATTTCTAAATAGAAAGTGTTTACTCCAATTGAATTACCAATATTTTATAGATGCCTTCTGAATTCTGGGCAAAAGAAAAAAAAAATTAGTGAAAAATATACGTCACAGTGCTGATAATAATAAAGCATTTTTGGCCTTTACAAAAATGGGTTGAAATAAGAAACATTTCAGGGCGAAAATGGCATAAAGTTCTTTTTTTAACCCTCTCAAATTAAGCCTTTCCTTTCACCTGAGGATTCTTTACTGAGACGTGGTGGCTCAGGGGATAAGTTGTCCGCCTCCGAATGAGGAAACCCGGATTTGAATCCCAACGATGGCTGGATTGATAACTGTGCACCTGGCTCGCACTGACTACAGTGCGAGGTAAAATATCCTCAGCGGTAGAAATCCCCCTGTCGTCAGTCTAACCGTGGAAGGTTTTCATGGTTTTCTTCTACATGTTACGCAAATGCTCTCCCCAAAGGCGAATTTCTCTCAATACTTGTTCCCTTGTCTTCTGAACTGCGCTCAAAATTACAAGGCTGGGGAGTTAAACATTGGTAGTCGTAAACTCAAACTTGGCTGAGCTGTTTAACGACGCTTATAAAATAAAATGAATGCAAATGTCATTTCTTTACTAAATATAAATGTTTAGATAATGCAGTAAGGATGTTACAAACTCCCTACGAACATAAAATTATTGTCAAACATCATTTAGCATTTAACATTAGAAACATTTAACATCATAGACATAGTAAAGAAGAACAATAATTTTTCAGGATCTAACAAAATAAGGATCTTAAAAGTATTCTTGTTCTTTTTAAAAATATTCTAATTATTTCAGAATAATAAGTTCTTTACTTTCAGATATTTTTTCTTCGAATACCAATGTATTTAAAAGACGCAATTTAGATTGAAAAAAACTCCCTAACAAAATAAATTTACAAATAAATTTTAAATCTAAGAGAATAAAAATAAATTTTATATCTAAGAGTAACAGTGATTCATCATTGAAATTTCTAAATTTACAAAATCAATTCTTAATACTTTTTTGGAATGAAAAAAAAATATTGTCAAACTATTTGTTTTATATTTTATTATTTTTATATTTCATTTATTTTTATATTTATTTACTTTCATACTTTATTTATTTTTATATTTTATTTAAAGAACTCTTGTTCTGTTAAATAATAAGTGTTTTAGGTAAGGAGTTTTGAAGAAAACCAATTTCTGTACATATACATATACATTTTAAACATGCACTTTAGATGTAACAAAACTGAAAAAGGAATAAAATGAAACCACCGTTATAACTAAGCGAAAACAAATCGAACCAGTCGTCCAGGATTTCCTAAAATATTCCAGTGTACCCATCAGCAGAAATAAATGCTTAATATCTGCTTCGCTCAACCTGATTATGTGTAAGGGGGGTACATCTGAGATTTCTCGAACAATCTTCTCTCGGACATCTCAAGTCATATCGACCTTTTTGATCAGATTATGCTATTTTCACTCTTTGTCAAGGACATTCTTCCAAATATCTTTGGCTTCTCAGATAATTAGGGTGCTGCTCCGATCGATAAATTACCATTTTCTCTGATTATTCACGTTCCGTTCGTTCCTTATTCACATTTTGAGAATAAGGATATTTGCATATTACTTGGATTTTTGGGTTTATTTGATTACGATGAAAGATTTAGAAAACATTTTCAAGAGTCTAATATTCGCGAAATAAGTTTATGTTTTTTCCTTTACCTATAATTCTGTTTGGGTTTATTGCATAGAATCTGTGATTGAAAATTTGAATGATTGAATCCTCACGTAAAGTTTTTTTTTAAATAAAGCAGTCGATAAAGTTTAAAAAGTTTGTTTTTCGTAAATTCCAATAAGTTTTTAACTGCATAAATTAAGTGATTTCTCTTTCCATATAATTCTTGTTAATTATATTTTTTTCCTTTTTGTACGTAAATAGTAATTTTAATGTAATCAATATTAGCGCTAATGGTTTTTTATGTACAGATTTATATTTCACTTTAATTTTTAAGACTATTTATGGACCCCAAATAAACATTTGTATTAGAGATAAACGGATATATATTACCCATGAAGCAAGAGAGAAAAATTTGAAATACGTGTTCTTTATGAAACAAATAAAAATAAAACAAGTTTCATTTTTGTAGTTAATAGGGTAATTACCACAGTTATTCTAAAGAAAGTTTGACACAAAGATATAAATAGATAACGACTGCGTATTCTTTAGCGCATAAAAAGTAAAATTATTAGAATTTCTTGTCGACAATTTGTACTTACCGGAGCAATTAGACTAATTGACCGTAATGCTAAATGGCACGTTTATACTAAGATAGGTGCCTCAAATTTGAGTATATATTTTTTTATAAAATAAACAGAAACTATTAGCAAGTTTAATTTCAATATTTTATAAACTGGGTGATTGTCCCAATTGAAAACTATGCAAATAAAAGTTTGCCAAAAGGCTAGAAGTTATAAATTTCAAGCACGTACTTCTTATCAGATAAAAAGAAATTAAAAATTTCATTTCATTTTTTGTAATTATTACCATAATTGAGAAGCAATTAACCTTAATTAACAAGTTTTACTAAGATAAGTCTTAAGTTTGAATAATCGTAATCAGATATAAAAGAAACTAAAATTTCATATCGATATTTTGTAGTTATCGGTGTAACTAGGGGGTAATGGTGTAAATAGGGGTAAGGGTGTAAATAAGGGGTTAGCATAATAATTAAATGTAATGCTAACTAAAAGTTTTCCACTAAGATAAAAGTCACGAATTTCAACCATTTGTTCCTTTAAGATAAAGGGAGAAGGTAAAAAAGTTCCATTTCGATAATTTGTAATTATTGAGGTATTTAAGGGATAATTAGCCTAATTGAAAATATTGTTAAATAACATACTTCTACTAAGATAAAAGTCTCAAATTTGGACCATGTTAACTGGGTTGACCATGTTGTTAAAACCATTTGGACAAGTTAAATAGAAAACTAAACAAATTTATTTCAAAATTTCGTTATAAATGTGCAATCATTCTAATTGACAGTGATGCAAAATAATACTTTCCATTCAAAGTCTTAACCTTGAGCCTCAAACTTTAGTCACAAAATTGGATCATATGTTTCGTATCAAACTACGAAGAAATATTTCTAAAAAAGGTTTTAATTCTGTACTTGGCAGTTATCGCAGTAATTCACCCAACCAACAGTAATACTAAATAACACATTCCCTCCAAATACTATCAAGTGATTGGCGCAGCAAAACCGATTGAATCTCTCTTGCTATTAAATCGCGAAAACGGTGAATTCGTACAGGTGTAAGACATAAGATGGGTGAACACTCAACACGAACTCACGGCGTAAAGGTGAGTTCTTGCAGATGAAAGACTATGTGGAACAGAGTAGTGATCAGCTCTTGCAGAAGAATGACTATGTGAAGCCGAAGCCAGTGAGTTCGCGAGGGTTGGAAGTCTACGTGGAGCAGCTAAGTGATCAGTTCTTGCAGAAGAAAGACCATGTGAAACCACGAAGCAGGGAGTTTTTGAAGGTGGAAGACTATATGGAGCAGCTATGTGATCAGTTCCTACAGAAGAAAGACTATGCGAAATCGCGAAACAGTGAGTTCGTGCAGGTGGAAGACTACGTGGAACAGCTAAGTGATGAGTTCTTGCAGAAGATATACGTCANGCAGTGAGTTTTTGAAGGTGGAAGACTATATGGAGCAGCTATGTGATCAGTTCCTACAGAAGAAAGACTATGTGAAATCGCGAAACAGTGAGTTCGTGCAGGTGGAAGACTACGTGGAACAGCTAAGTGATCACTTCTTGCAGAAGAAAGACCATGTGAAACCACAAAGCAGTGAGTTTTTGAAGGAGGAAGACTATATGGAGCAGCTATGTGATCAGTTCCTACAGAAGAAAGACTATGTGAAATCGCGAAACAGTGAGTTCGTGCAGGTGGAAGACTATGTGGTGAAGGAAGTGGTGGATTAGTGTAGGGGGAAGAACGCTTCATCGAATACCCTATTGTACTAAAATATACTAATTTCAAAGAGTCAGAAAAACGCTACGGAAGACAGCAATTGCTAACCAAAATACACGAAGTTTTGAAGAAATACAGGTGAAGGACAATGTGGAACTGTGAAGGGAAGAGTTTGTTTTGGTGAACCAGCTGGTCATTCCATGAAACTAGTTTATAATGCAATAAAGAAAGAAAGTAAATAGAAACTTTTATATATAGATTCAGCTTTTAGATTTATTAAGTTTTATTAAACCGCAAGTATATACTATCCATAATATAGAATAAAAACGCACGCACGAAAAAAGGATAAATAAAATTAATAAGAAAATAAAAAAAAAAACTAAACAATTATTCAATTTCTAAATGTAATTTTAGCATTAATATAAAAAAAGCATGTTGTTCATATCTTAAATATAGTGTTTCATTTTATTGTTGATTTGATTTAGAAATGTTTTATCTTAATGTTCTTAGAATATTTTTTATTTTTGCTAAAAAGTAACTTTGTTTTAAGTCAAGATTCTCTCTCTCTAGAAAAAAATTGGTTTGTAAACCAATGAAAGGAGAGCAGTTTACATAACTCAAGAATAATTGCTGATAAATACTTAAAGGAATTTATTATTTTTTTTTAATCACAAATATGGTGTTTTATCCTATTTATTTTCTTTTTCAATTCAATGCATATTTTTTTACTGTTATTTTATTTATAATATAGTTTTATTTTAAAATATATTTTATTTCAATTCTGTTTCAGTCTATAATGCTTTATTTCAGTCTATTTTTGCTTAAAATTATATTTTATAATGTTATTTTGATTTTAAATATTGTCTTCAAATATGATTTCGACTATTATTATTGTTTTATTTTAAAATATCTTTCAATTTTAATACTGTTTTGATGTCAAATTTTTTTTTTATTAAATTGAATTTTAATTTTCCAATTTACGTTTTCAAAGTTCCATGATTCTCTCTTTCTTTTTTGGGATTATTAAAAATGAATTAATTTAAAAAAGTAGTACAAAACTGAAAAATAATTGCTGATGCATCTTTAGTATGTTGTTTTATTAAATTGCTGTTTTGATTTCAAATACTGTACTTTCATTTCAATGTTTTTTCGAATTTCAAACATTTTATTTCATTGTTGTTTGATTTTAAAACATTTTATTTTAATGCTTTTCTGATTTAATTTACAGTTGCTATCATATGACGTCGGCTGAAGATTTCATTCTCTCTCCCCAGAACAAATAGGTTTCTAAATCTATAAAAAAATATGCAAAAATTTTAAATCGAATGCTAATGCATCCGCAGCAAATCGTTTTAATTTATCATTGTCTAGGTTAGGAGCAATTCGAGACAATACTTAATTAAAGTAAAATAAATAATTATTATAAATAAATTGTAATAATTAGAATTAACAAATAAATTATCATAATAAAAACAAATAAATTTATAATAATTATAGAAAATTAATTATAATAATTAAAATAAATAAATTAGTTATAAATAATAATTTAATATGGTTAAAGTTTGATTAAAACCAAATTGTATTTTGTTTAAGTCTAATTTTTGCATTATTTCGTTTCAGTCTAGGCTCAGTTTTAATAAACACTTTTCAATCAATAAAAGAAATTATTTCCTGTTGAAGCAAAGAATCATGAACGCGAAAATAAAAAAAATGAAAAAGTTATGTAACAACTTCCATCATAATTCATTAATTGCGTTATAACACTTTTGTGGATGCATCATTAAATATGCATAAACCAACCCTACCATGCAGCCATCTGCATGCTTACCCTTAGCCATTACGACTTCCCCCTACCTCTGTAATATCCACCATCCAGAAGGTATCTGAAAATTTAGCGAAATAAAAATAAAGAGTATTGTTACGAGATAAAGGATGTGGCAGTAATATATGTTAATAACAAAATTAATGTAAAAAAAAAAACTAGGAGTGAAATATGCTTTTGAGGCGAAGTTGCAATGGCGGAAAATGAAGAAGGCGATAAGCTTTGGCAAGGTGTCAGAAGTTTTGATAATTTTTCTTATTTTCTTTGCAACCTCATCGGATACTGGATGTAATGTTCTTCGTAAGAATAATATTCTGTCGGTCGTTGATTAACTCCCGATTTACATAATCTAATTTAGAAACCGTACCCATATACGCGAAATGCAGATGTTGATTGCGCTGGAGATAGAAGACATTGTTACAAGTTTAAATCGATAAAAGCACTTAGTACTAATGGCCAAACTTTGAGAAAGAAGTCACTCTGGCAAGTTTATTACGATGTGGAACTTTTTTCTTAAAATTTTTGAGTTTTTTTTCTTACTCCTTCTTGTTTTAAGTTTGCTTTTTAAAGAAAGTGCAGGCGCTATTTTGGAATTAGAATAGCATCTCTTAATTAAGATTGATTTTTCATTAAATTTCTTCGTCTTTTCAAAATTGATTTCAGTTTTTAATTAACATACTTTAATGGAAAGTTTATTGATTTTTACTATTTTGTATCCCCAATTTGTTCGGTAATGGATTATAATGATTTCAAAATCATCTGATTTTAAACACTTTTAATTTTGAAGTTGGTTTAGACAAATTTTAATATATGTATTTCAAAATTAAAATAAACGTGAATGTGACTAAGAAGTGTTTTAACTATTAATTTCATAGGAAAATACCAAAGTAAACATAGTTCTTATTAATTTGTATATGCATCAAACTGTAAAATTCATTATGGTGTTTAAAAAAACAGGTACTTGGTTATTTTTAAGAACCAGAAAATGCTGTTTTTGAAAGAAAAAAAAACAATATCAGATTTCAAACAGAACAGTGGGCATGTAACTTCTTTCAAAACTTCAACTTTGATTTATGACAAAGATGGAACTCAAAAGAATAAATTTAAATGATAGATTCCGCCAGAAAAAAAATCCTTCGTACACAACATAAATTATACGAGAAAATCCCTTCAATTTAGTTAAATTCTATTTAACTAATAAAAAAAACTCAACGAAATTAAACATGCCTTACATGCAATGGAATATAAAATATATGTATTTTGTGCATAACGAAATATAAGATAATATTATATATTTTGTCTAATTTTGAAGACTTTTGTATTAATTGGATAATAAAATGTAGTTTAAAATCTGTGAAAGCAAATGCAAAAGGCTTTATTTGTAGGATGCACAAGGTGTTCTTAGGGCCGGAATAGCTTGGTAGGTAAGGTTGTGGGTCCATGTCCGAGAGTTCGTGGGTTCGAACCCTGCCGGTCGTGAGTGACTAAGTAATGACTAGTGATAGTAAAGTGACTGATGCAAGTTAAATCTGTCGAGTCGCAAAATCCTCCATGTTCCCATAACAAATCAATACCTCTGAGGGACTGGACTGGAGATCGATCGTTCTCTGATTCAGGTCAAAATTTCGATCTGTGATTGAATGAATGGCTGTATGAATGGGTCCGCTCTATAAACGGGTGTGACGTATGTGGCAGAAGTCAAATTCTTGGCCATAGATTGCGCCACTGGAAAACAAGAACAATCGCACCCCCTCTGCCTAATCAGGCATACGTCTACAATAACAACAAGGTGTTCTTAGTATCATTGTCAAATATATATACTAATTGGGGATCCCAAGGTAATATTTAAGTGAGGAAAAGTAAAAACGCTGTCGAAATCTTACGAATCAATAGTAGAGCAAGCGAGACAGGAAAATTCAAAACCCGTTTGATTTCAAAAGGGCTCGAGCAGTTTTCAATTTTCCGAAGATGGTTCGCACACTGAAACATCGAGAGAGTTATTTCAATTAAATCTATTATCCAAGGTAATTAAGTATCATTGGCGTCAATAATAGTATGGTGGGTTTTTATATCTCTACTTGGTGAATTATTAACAAAATTTTTCAGTGAAATTTGCTTTTCAGTGAATAACTGATTTTTATTTTATTTCAATAGTTGCTATTAAGAGCCGTGATGGCTCAGGGGAAAGAGCGTTTGCCTTCCAATGAGGCGAACCAATGAGGTTTGCTTTCGATTGAGGCTTGCACCCATCACAGTGCTGACAGAAAATATTCTCAGTGGTAGACGGGTCATGAATTAGAGTCCCCTTGAGGTTGGGCTAACCGTGGGAGGCTTTCCGTTCCATGTAACTGAAATGCGGGTTAGTTACATCAACAAGTCTTCCACGAAGACAATACTTGATCCTGGAGTTCCCTTGTTTTCTGGATTGGGCTCAAAATTACAAGGTTACGGCCTTGAACTCTGGTAGCCGTAAACCCGAAATTGGGTCTGCTGTTCAACTCCGGTTAAAACAAAATGAATTAGCAGCTATTATCAAAATTAACTAAGTATCAATGGTGTCAATAAACGGAGAGAAAAACAATTCTGGAAAAATAAGCGTACTGCATGGTAATGGCATTTCTGGTAAAGAAAACAAACAAGAAAATAATTCGGATTACTAAAACCAGAATATATGGTACTTTAACCATTATTTGGTAATATTGCTATGAGTATGGAAACGGATTAACAGAAATTCTGGTTTTCAACTAAGTATTTATTTCCACACATTTAGTAAAAAAATACAAAACTCAAAAGTAAATTTATCTGAATAAATGGTGTTTATGCTGAAAGGCATCGTGATAAATGCAAAATTTATCACATCTTATTAAAACATATTTTATTCTTAATTCTACCAAAATAATTACCAAAGTGCTTCGGTGAAAATTACTGAGATTTTTGGTGTTTAATCAGAGCTAGAAATACAGTACATTTTACCACGTTCTGGCAGTTTTGATCACACTTTTTTCTCAGTGTAGTACATCGATTTTTCACTGTTTTACTGAAAGAATAAGTTTCTCTGTCCCTTTGTTTTTACTTCTTAATGCAAGGTTCTTTTTAAATTTCAATTTGTGCTTTTAACCAAGATTAAATAAGCATCATTGGCTTCAATAATAGTTTTTTTTAACTTTGTTCTAAAATATTTTGTTCAAACTGTTCTGGAGTTACGCGAGGGACAAGCACAGATGCAAACTCCTCATTTTATTGTAGATTCCGTAATTAAAGTAGGTAATTAAGAAATCATTATAATGTGATGTGTTTTTCTCTATTACCAATAAAAGACATTAAAATTATATCAAATATTGAGGAAAAAGAATATCTAAAGTATAACAGATTTTAAAAATAACAAAAAATTTATAGAATTCTAAATATTCCC